TCCAGCTCCTGTGGAGCAGAATGCATTGGTCGTACAACAAGGTATCTATCCGAGCGAGTGAAGGAACACCACCCGGCCTGGCTTGGAACTGGAAGCAGAAAACCAGTTAGCTCCTCAATAGCCGCGCATCTCGCTGACACAAAGCATACCACTAAATCAGCTGACTCTTTCAAAAGTATCTATCAGGCCCCGGCGAACGGATCGAACTACGTTCATAAAAGAATATTAGAATCTGTTGAGGCAACTGCGATTTGATTGTATGGCCCAGAGCTGTGTATCCAGAAGAAGCTAACTAGAGGGTCGGGACTACGCTGGCCCAAACGCCTGACGACCACTAACCCGCGAGGTCAATTGTCGTAAGCTAACGGATAGCCGCTGTCTGTATTGAAATCGCTCCTGGACTAACGACTGATAATGTCTGTCTACACAATTTGTTTTTATTGGTATATAACTGTAGAAGCCTGATGAGGAATTATCGAAAACATATGTTCGCTTACACTGATTTTGATCCTGCTATGGAGTTTTTCAAAAATTGTTATTAGTATTATTATTACCAATTAGTATCATCAGCCCTGAAGAGACGATGGAAATGGAAGTATCAGCCTGTAGCGCCCCAAAAGATAACCACTATCTTTTAGGTGCAATTCCATTGCTGACCAATTGTACATTATGATTTCTTGTTTTAATCATTACCTGCGGCTAAACACTCATCTGCTCGGCAAGTTAAAACGTTGACATTTGTTCCTGTCTCGCTTCATCCATCCACGTCTTTTTGTAGCCCATCGAATATAGTCCGCTGCGCTCGAGTATATTTGCCTTCTGATATCTGCGCTCTATTACATGTATCGTCGTGGACTAGTATTCACTAGTCCTACAAGCCGAACTTCAGCCACCCACTATAATTTTCAAATAACTGGAGGGAACCAACCGTTTTAGATGTCATGAAATCATCGTTCCAAAATGTGAAAAACAAGAATAGAGGAACACTAGTTTATGTGAGAAGACTTGGAACGGATTATCGAGGAACATCAGGGAGATTTGCAACTTGCAAGTTTACGGCAACGGCAGGAGCTTATCTCACCGTAGGGAACGCAATTGTTACGGTCACCAAGGTCGCGCTGGGCCGCTCTGATTGGTTGTTCGAGAAAAAGCTGTCCGCCCCAATTGGCCAATTAAAATTTAAGGTCGCAAGCACGGCTTAATGGCCGCCAGACACGAGACAATTACATGGTGCAGACTCGATATTTGTGTTCCCGCTAACCTTGAGCCTTCTCTGTTCTCCTCTACTTTTTACTTACAATAGTATTAGATTGCCCGATAACATCCTTTTGATCAACCAATGCGATTGTTCCACTTGACTTCTGGAAAAATCTTAGAACATGGTCCAGGTGGCGTTCACTGATACCTTCCTTAGGAGATGCGCCTCCAAAGAATAATCGGTATAGCTAAGATATTACAACGGTATTGCAGGACTGACGACAAAAATTAGAGTTTCATATTAGATACATAGGGCGAGACAAAGTATCTGAATGCCTAGCTCACTTGAAACTCATGTCACTGGCGTGATAGTCGTTTATTTCCCCCGTATTGTTACTTACTTGTCTCACGCGGCTGTGCTTAACTGGAAGCTTACAAGTTCACGTGGGACCCCTGATGTACTATTATGTTCTGCCAATACTAGACCGCGAAGAGAGTATGTCAACTTGAAATTTGAGAAGGGCAGCCAAAACTGCATCACAGCCTCAGTTGCTCCCAATCGGTGACCGGTATAATACAGTTACCCATGCAATGAAAAAAGAGTTACCAGCAGCTCGCCGCTACGCAGTACGGACGCCTCGTTACCATTAAACCAACAGTAGCGCGTGGACTAAGGGTACTGCGAGGGTCACACGGTCTTCTACGTCCGCTCGAACCCACTACCTTCGGATTACAAAGCGAACATGAGATCTTTTCGGTTACGGGCCAGCGCTCATGTAACGTGATGACGTAGGATGTTCTTCCATAAGAACCTCGCGCTCTTACAGGGAATTTGACACTGAAGCATGCTTAGGCACTCACGTGAGCTGCTTTAAGAGGTAACTGAGTTAATACGTTTAAGCATTTACTAACATTTTGCTGTTAACATTTTATGTAGTTAGTAGACACCGTTATTTCTTTCGATTAAAGTAAGGCACTTCGTCCATGAAATATACCACGGACGACATTGGGAATGGCAACGATAATAACTAGCAAATTACATCGGAATCGAATGCGCTCAAATCATCCTTAAGAAATCGAAGGCAAGACCATTAAGTAACTCAATGCTTCTGCGTGAACCAGAGAGTGACGACCTATTTACTGTCTAATCAACGACATACTTATTTCAGATCCAAATATGAGCACGCTATCATTATCCCGATACATCAATTATTCTACCTCCTAAGCTAGGAAGTCAAACATAGTTGCTCATATGCGGGCATTAATGAACTAAACGTAGGTACAGTCATTCTTTATCAAAAGAAGTCGAAGAACTGTAGGCAATATCAATTAATGGGAAAAAGAATTCAGTGTATTTACAAGACCCTGAAAGCAATGAAACGCGGGACACACAATGGTAAGGAGGTAGATCCAGTGTCACACAAAGGGCAAAAAAATGCAATCGATTGAATGTACCGTGGCATGGGGTTGTCAAACTCACGGAGTGAGGACACAGGCTTACAAGTGCGAATCTTGTAACTAAGGGGTTAAAGTCAAAGTAGTTGGGGTGCAGGTGAAGAACTGCGGCGTGCCACATGTTTCAACTATACAACAGGTCCATTAACACACCTGTTGCTCATCAAGTAAAGGAGCCACCGGATATTTGCACCACTTTCTGCTAGGCCGCCGTAACAAGCTCTAATCCAACTAGCGACATTCAAGTGATTAACATAACTGCTTCATTTGTCTCGTAACGGCTCATATCCCTTCGTGCAACGCGTCGTGTTTCAAACGCGTCGATATCAGAGTCGGCACCCGGAAAAGCAAATAGCCAAGCGCAAAAACGCTGGGCTGAAATCAACCGTTACGCCACTGACCTAAGAGTCTAGGTGCTAGCGGAAAAGGACACATTGACATTGGTTTGGAGAGATCGGTCAAAAGGAGTCATGTTTGAGACTGTTGTGGAGACCTCGGGGTTCCACAAAAGGTTGGGCCGGACAACCGTCCTCCAAGTTTGCCAGTCATATTGCTACGAAACGCTTGCGCGAGACGTCATCGGCAACAACAGTACCAATTGTATTTACCAGTGACATTGTCAGTTGGCAACTCTCCTTCAGCAGTAGGCCGGTACGCAGTACCGACCCTTCGCTGTCGCGCAACCACCACCGGTCGCACGTGGGCTAAGGGTACTACGAGGGTCGCCTTACCTCAACGCAGGTTCGAACGCGCGCCGTCAGATTGCAAGACAAGCATATTACCTTTAATCTACGGACCGGCTCTCTTTGTATTACTAAGAGTCACTGTTACCATGTCGCTGATTGCGTGATCCGCCCAGCGATACTATTGTCGGGTGGTAATTACGTCACTCCGAGTACAACCTTCGTTCTATCGCAAAGTGAAAACCATGCCACCCTCCCGATGACGAGGAAACCCGTGGTATAAACAATAGTATGTAAAAACTGTGTTCACCTTTGTCTCTGCCTGTCTTACTTGAGCAGTAAACGCTTCCTCTCAGTGTCGTGAGTACGCATGCCGTGTCCGTGTTAGTCTCGGTACAGTGAAGAAGAACCGTTGGTCACCTAGATCACTCGGACAATAAACAGACGCTCTTTTGAGGGACACGAACGCCCGGAGCATTTGACACAAAAGACCAACTCAAAAGGGAGTGAGGAGCAAGTCCACCTAGGGAAGGTTACAAATATTTTAGCGAGGTCCGCACAAGGCATGTTACACGCAGTATTGAAAAATACTATCACAACTCGCGCGTTTCTCGACCGAATTGGAGTACTCATCTGAGAATACGGTCAACAGCAGATGAAGGCTGATCGACTTGAAGCTGATCCGATGACAGACCATTGAGCATGGATGATGCTCTTGCTCTATCAGAAACAACGCGTGGCGTAGCGCCCAAAGCCAACCGAACTGAGCTTATAACCCGTGTCTTGTTGTCACCTATGTCCAGCTGTTGAAGAAAGATGTCGACAGTACGCCGGTACGTTTCACCGCCACTAGTCGTGCGCAAAGTAGGGATACTGCGAGTTCGCCCGCATCTACGCAGACTCGAGCTGGTAACCTGTGGGGTACACGACAGGCGCATGAACCACTCGGCCAAGGAGCACATAGGCTGAGATTGTCTGAACAGTAACCAGAGACCTATATGGCATGAGAAAATCTGAGAGCACAGCGTATCTCAATGGATCATAGAGATATGCACCCGTACTCACCACTTTAGGGTATAATTTCTTGGACATGACTTAAGCTTGCATCCTAATGGTTCAAACGATCGGACACCGTGGCTCCGGCTATCCTGAAGTACGTACGAAAAGTCAAACAAAACATGATGATGGGTGTATAAAATTTTATTGATGTCGAAAATATAGTGCGGATTGCATTCCTTACTATAACTCTTCCGTAGATTAGTTTCGTGAGAATCGGCAGCTATCACCGGATATTTCTAATAGACGAATAAAAGATCTTGTAATATAACAGCTTACCGGGTCTGCGCGTGACAGCCAACTTCTAATTGACTATTGGAACTATCCGTCAAGGAGCGATTGGAATGATGATGTCGTGCATTATAAAGCCATGATTTGATAGTCTTGGAGACTTCTGGAGAGTTGGCGCAATCTCGACCAAACCTCCGTAGTAAAACAGCTACAATATGGTTTTAAGTAAAAGACGTGATGATTTACCGTTTAACACGGAATAAAGTATTGTTTTGCGGAAAGAGAAGGTATCATGAGCTCCGGAGAAGTTGATTGATGCTGCCACGGAGCGTGTCAATATACGGTCCATCATTTGGCGGGCCGCCTCTTTGACATGCAAACCGTGTACGAAATTTAGATAGTTCACCTGCACGAATGCGAAAACCGGAATCACTTACCAATTGTTGCTTTTGTTTTGGATCCTTGAGGGAATCATCAAACTCTCTCAATGCATCCACCGTGGTCACCGGGAGTGGCAATGAGGTGTTCATTTCTCTACGATTAACCACTTCGGAGCAAGTGCGAATGGAATTCTTCATTGCCGCTATATCAGTTGACATTTTCCGTTGACTATCCAGCACGGTGTCTACAACACCAATCACATAGATACATGTCAAACACGTACCGATGATACCCAGTAGTTTTTTACGAATTACTGAAAGGTCCGCGCTGGACTTCCCTTCCGCATCTGAGAATGTTGGTTAGTATAGAACACACACAAAGGGGTGACAAACGTACGGATGGTGCAAGGTGGTGGTGCGGAGGTTGACGTGGTGGCGTCATGTGTTTGCACCTCTGTCATCACTGCAGTGCTTGTCCATTCCGTAGTGCTTATCTCCAGGTTGTTCTGGATTGGAACATTGTCTTCCTGTACATACTCTTGTGCATCTATAATCCGCATCAGACATCACTGGGCTCAGTATAATGTGTGAACTCACCACCTAGCTGACAGGAGAAGGACAGCTCCTCTTTATGAGACTGCACACATCCCGAGCCTGTAACCGTTTTGTTTCCAAACAATGTTGCACGCCTTACTTGATGATGTGATTGCAGTGAACGATGCGGAAGATGTCGATTCAGAAACGAACTGTAATGGTACAGGGGTTATCAAGAATAATGGAGCTCCGAAGGGTATCGTCACCGTGTTCGGAGTAGCCAAAGCATGATCCTCCGATACCAGGAGTGCCGAACAGTGGTTATCTGCAGGCAGGATCTCACTCGGTACCACTTGGTGCACAGTAGTATCTGACAGCGACGACGTACACACTTGAATGGTGCCGTTGTTTATGACTTCGGGCGATTCCGTGATTGTATATGCCTTCTCCAGTGACATCGCATGGCTGAAGTCAACTGTATTACTGTGTCACATTGGAAGTGTTCTCTCTTACTGGTTCTCTCTAGGACAGTCACTGGCGTTTTGATGTCCAGTGATCCGGGTAAGCGATGTTCACGTACGGCTTGATAATAATCGTGAGGTGGCATATTGGGGATGATCGCTATCTGATCGTCATTCAGCAGCCAAGTGCTGCTCACGATGGTAAAAAGGCAACCGTCCTCCGCGGATACTCGAACCACACAATACTGCTTTTCGCTCGTGGTATCTGAGATAACAGAAACACATATCATGGATTGATCAGGAAATCAACATCAATCCACAAAAATTGCATATGTGGCGAGAGATAACCAAGTACTATCGGATATCGGCAACGAATGGCTCGAATATAACTGAGAAGCTGTATCGGACGAGAAACGTGAAACGAAACGACGCGATTGCACAAGCGGAGACTCGCTGGTGCACACAGAAAGCCACTTCCAGAGGAAGTTAAGTTTCGAGGGATGTGATGCACATAAGAGTGGCCCGTGGCATCATCTTGTGGGCTTCAAGATTCTTCAGCAAACCTTGTGCGGAAAAGTCAGTCAAGCGATCCTGGGTACAATGGATGGATGAAAGTGCAGATCTGTTTTTATAAATCTAGACCAGAGCACTTCACCTAAGTCACTGCCGCTAGAAGACAAAAGTGGTCAAGAAAAACAGGCGGAAATATCGGATCACCGGTCCAACGGAAGCAGTGTGTGAAAGGTGATTACAATCGGCTGCTTTGTTCAAGTCAGTTAAAATCACTAGGAGCTCATAACATCTAAACTCGGCCAGACAGCCATCACATGTTTGGTAAAACAGATCAAAATGCTTATAGTGCCGCAAGTAAATTGGCGGTTTAAGTTCGGTAAGTTCGTCGATTAGTGTGAGGGATACTCTGTCTTCTACACGGCAGTAGCATGAAAATAAGTGGATTGTGAGCGGCCCCCTATTTCACCTAGTAACTTAGTCATGATGGTCGTTACCGTTACCCCGTAGCTCAGAGGTCAAAACCAAAGAGTGTCAATAGTTGAGCCGCGGGTTCGAGGTCCACAAGGGCCAGGTGGAATGCAGATTGCTGATGATTCCGAGTGGATGAAATGGTCGTACGGTGCTTTTCTGGGCGTAGTGGCTGTCTGACTGAGTCTAGGTGGGATGAACTGCTAATTTTACCATGTAACTCTCTGGTAATCAACCAAAAGCAACAAGTGCTAGGCACACGTGTATGGGTGTAATTTCAGTACCTGCACGATCACTGCAAACACGAAAATGAGATACAAAAATGGCGATATTTAAGCTTGTGTTACGTGCACGGATAAAGAAGTCCGAGAACAATCCTCTCGTTGCCAGCTCCAGTAGGTCGCATTGCATCATCTAAACTTGGACTGATGACAACCGGGACCGCATTTCCATCATTTGATGCTGGAAGAAACAGAGAATTGAAATCCTTTACCTTGTCCCCAGGATCTGACTCCAAAGTTTTGCGGCTAAAATATGGCTTCCGGCGTGATGCATAGCCTTTGTTTTACATGACAGAAAGCGTTGTGCAGTCCTCAAGACCAGTGCACAGTTTGGCGTGAGAGAATCCCACGGTGTAGCTATCAGTCACGAATAAGGAGACCAAGAGGCAAAGAGAAAACTGAAGATGACAGGTGTTTGCTGAGGCATCGCAAAGGCTATGATGGCTGCAGCGCGACACGATCGATCATTATGCACGTAACATTCCTATCAGAAATGCGCAAATTCTCATTGTATGTGCTTAGCCAAGACCAGTTGTGAGGCATAATGCTAGGAAGCACCATACAGTGTTGTCGAAGAGTAGGATAAGAATGGAGATTCACTGCGAGGATCACCAATGGCAAAAACCTATAGGATGAGTATAGCTGAGTGAGTCAAGACTAAGGAAAACATTAGGCACTAAAGTATAACACAGACAATAGAGGAAAGCAACGGGTGTATATGATTGGCCGCATCCGGTTTCGAATTTGTCTGTTATTGTAGCCAGCCACAGGACGCCTGCACCTACAGAGGGACCATGCGTCGCTTGCACTGCACCACTCACAGCTCCAACCACACGCCCCATATCCAGTATACACCCGAAGGAATAAGACCGGGAGGCAAATGAATGGGAGCCACGTTTCATCAACGGAGCCGGCCCACACTCCTTCACAGGCAACCTCAAGCACGCTGTATTTGGGAATCAATCGCGCACAAGACGGTGGCTGGACCGTAGTCCGCTCCACACTGGGTGCATGGAACCACTCTTGATCCTAGCGAGGCCACAAGGACCGTGCAGCCCGTCACCGCCAGCAACAACCAACTGTCTCCTGGAACCAGTATGGATGAAGTAATGGGTAACAGACAGGTAGGCACCTCGTCAACATGCACAGCAAGCCACACCATGACTATCAAGAAACAGCCAATCACTTGAAACGACGATATCAAATAAAATAAATCGAATAATACATACAGATGCGGCGACATAACTCTTCAACAAATAAGCATGTGAAATAGATTGGTTACGAACAAATACGTAATAATTGCAAGAGGTCAGAAAACATATTTTAAGAAAATGTCACAAAAACGAGAATGTTATCGAAGTTAACCACAAATGACTTAAACGACGTGTGAAAGTTAAAAAATTACTCAGGTAGACATTAGTATGAGATAAAAATCATTAGGACAATAAAGCAAACCCACCACCTGGAATAAAAATTCAGCACGCAAGCACGCGGTTAGTA